GTGGTGGTTTTGCAAAGAAATTCTGCCCTGGTGGGTGGTGGAATTCCCCATAATTAGCATCGCTTGTTTGCAAATTCCCCCGCTATGTCGCGGGGGTGGGGGAGCGGGGGAAACAAATGACTAGTGCATAAAGGGATTCAACATCACCAGGAAATGGACAATGCTATTTCGGCTTGCAAGCTAAAACAAAGGGCTGATTATTTGGTCGAAAGCAGTAACGTGAGTCAAAAGAGAATGAGTTATTCCACTCGGCAAAAGACCTAGCAACAGCCAGCAGAGTAACTTTAAAGGCCGCACACAAATCTAACCTTGCCACTACTAATTCACAAAATAAATTGCTGCAAGTAGCCATAAAGGCAACTGATGCAGCGGGTATCTGCTGGAGGAAAAACGTAAGGAAAATTGTTTCGGACAGTTGTGCGAACCTAGTTGCAAAAATGTCACCAACAAAGAAGCAAGAAATTGAGGAAATGTTAATGTACACATTTAAGTGTATTAGCGACTTCAAAGAAAACACGCAAGCCATTGTTACTGAACACACTGAAATGTTTTTAAAAGAACTTGAATTAGATAAATTGCAATTAATTAACTGTGAACAGCGAATGGTTCACATGAGTGTAGAACTGGCAAAAAAGGAAGAAAAAATCTCAAATCTTGGGAGAGCATTGCAGGCTTCAAAAGAAGATCACAAAGATATGCCAGAGGTGTTGGTCAGGCTAACCAACCTCTTCAATGATGGTTATGTGGACACAAAGTTTGAGACATTTTTGAACGATCTAGTAAACAGTGAAGGGGAAAGGTACTAACACTTGGAGTTCAACCACCAAGTCGCTATTTGCTATGCTTCTTGACTATGGTGGCCTAATGGCTTGTGAGCTAGTGGCTAAGAACTTTGGTGGGCCTTCTGTAAGCTCCGTTTACAGGGAAGACAGACGTGAAAAGGCCGTTGCTGAGTCGTTAACTAGCGGTAGCTTCAAAGATGCAAAAGTGTTTTATGAGAAACTTGGTTATAAAGGCCTTTTTTCTCTTGCCGTTGATGCGACAGCTACTGCGCAAATCTTTTGATGTCGTGGAAATAGAATAACTGGTTATGCAAAAAATAAAGAAGTGAGGGTAAATTCTGCACAAGACATCATTGACTGTGTAAAAGACCAAAAATACGAGAAAGCATGCTAGGCGTATGCTTTTCTACTGGTTCCACTTCAGCCGTTTATTCCATCATTTACTTCAGCAGTACAACATGTGATAAAGGGAGAAACAGCCGATACTGTTGATACTTGGATGCGCAATTCTAGAGCTTGGGTTGGAGAATCTGGGATAAATATCTTAGGGCTTGCAGCAGATGGAGATAGCAAGATACGAAAATACTTTCACATTCGTTGCCACGGTGCTGGAAACAAGGAACATGGTTTGTCTCTAGAAGCAACTGATTTTACGTTTCTTGCGCCATTGGAAAAAATAAATAATGACAATTACATACCCGAACTTATGTTTCCAGATCAGTTGCATATGATAAAAAAATGGCGAAATCAGTTGCTGAATACCAGACGCCTTTTAGTTATGGGGCAAAAATGTGCTGTGTTGGAGCACATGAGTCAAGTGTTCCAAAATTATCGTTTGGCGACGGGACTATGGCAAACAGACGTTTGGGTGAAGGATAAGCAGAACGTTGATGTGGCCTTAAGGCTTCTTCATCCTCGTGTGAGATCATGTCTTTTGAATTTTGACGACAACGAAAACAGTTGCAACCAGGGTATATTTGAAAATTGGACAGAAAATGCGTAATGCTTACGCATGCAACAACTTGACAATAGCCGAAAGGATTGAAGAAGCGTGGATGCTGGTGGTTTTTCTTAGGCTGTGGAGGCAATGGTTAAAAATTGAAAAGCACAACGTCAACAGTAACTTTATCAGCGATCAGCGATGGCCCTGATGAAAACAAAATTCTTGATCCAGATGAGATCGAGAGTCTGTCAGCAGAAGATACTTTGGCAACTGTTTTATTAAATGATAGGGAACAAGCCACGAGAAACGACCTCATCACATTGCTGCCTCTACTAGCCAAGTAACTTCAGCATGTTCTGAATCCTGACAAGAGAACTTCATTTCTCTTCAAGAGCCAAACCATAGAATCGCAATTTCCGCACAACAGCACAAATAATGTCCACATTCAGAGCGACGATTCTCCCGAAATGGAGAACGGATGTTTTATGAGTCAAATGAGTCAATGAGTCATGAACCTTAAGTCAACAGGTCAGATCAGCGGTTTTTCTTAAAGATCGGGGGCGCTTTCCATTCAACCCAAAAGTCCAGAAATTTCGGTTGGTTCATCAAATGGAACGGACCATTTTGGTTTGCTCTGCCCGGAATATTCGGGACCAGCTTTGAGGGTGGTCCACTGTGACCGGTCTGGTCATTTCGGTCGGTCGGACCGTAATGTCCCTTTCCATTTGCGAAATTGTTTTCCCCAGTACCGCTCTTTTCTATCCTGCTTACAAGAACAAGTAGCCTAATGGAAAGTGAAGTGCTGTGAGTAAAGCATGACATCTCAAATAGTTTGAATAGGTTGCAATTTTTTTCGATTTTTTATATTTGCCATTAACAGTGTCAAATGACTGACGCAACAGGACACGTAGGTGAAAATAAGTGTTGGTAATCAAGGAACAATTGTATAAACGTCCATGAGAATCAGGGTATTATTTGTCTGAAACCTGTCGACGATATTTAAAGGGACTGGTTCACGATAATGTGCATGTGTGAGTTCTGACAGTAGCTGATTGTTTTTAAACCAATCGGAAGCGTGTTAGATGCAGGCAAGTAAAGTTACGAAATTCAAATTCATTGTTCAGGACGCGAGAGTATTCTTTGCTACTCCTCAGATAGAATTCTCAGCGTTTTTTTCCTACTTCGTCGCACTAAGAGATTTTTCCTTTTCGGGATATTGAAGTTAAGTAGATTTTCTAGCTCTGTGGCATAAACTATCCCGATCCCTCATCAAATAAGTCCCTTTTGGCACAAATAGCACAGAAGCGCGCGCATCGTAGGATGCATGCAAACAAAACAAACTTGGCATAATGTAGGTGATGATTATTAAATTGGCCTAAAAAGGGTCTGATCATCGTGCCGTGTTTTGATTATTTTTCAGTTAAGTTTATACAAACCAAATAACGCAAAAAAAAAAGTTGTTTCTCAAATCGATAGAATTCTGTATATTGAAAACTGAATAGGAATTTTTCGTTTTGTCGCTTTTGAAGGGATCTCTTGTGATGTTCCCAGCTGTTATTCTACCCTTAATGTTTCCTAATACAGCCTTTCTTTCGTCCAAGAGTATGCCAAAAGGAAAGAAACCCAAGAAAGCCCATTGCTGTGTTGGAGGATGTAATAATNATTCTTTGCTACTCCTCAGATAGAATTCTCAGCGTTTTTTTCCTACTTCGTCGCACTAAGAGATTTTTCCTTTTCGGGATATTGAAGTTAAGTAGATTTTCTAGCTCTGTGGCATAAACTATCCCGATCCCTCATCAAATAAGTCCCTTTTGGCACAAATAGCACAGAAGCGCGCGCATCGTAGGATGCATGCAAACAAAACAAACTTGGCATAATGTAGGTGATGATTATTAAATTGGCCTAAAAAGGGTCTGATCATCGTGCCGTGTTTTGATTATTTTTCAGTTAAGTTTATACAAACCAAATAACGCAAAAAAAAAAGTTGTTTCTCAAATCGATAGAATTCTGTATATTGAAAACTGAATAGGAATTTTTCGTTTTGTCGCTTTTGAAGGGATCTCTTGTGATGTTCCCAGCTGTTATTCTACCCTTAATGTTTCCTAATACAGCCTTTCTTTCGTCCAAGAGTATGCCAAAAGGAAAGAAACCCAAGAAAGCCCATTGCTGTGTTGGAGGATGTAATAATGATGACTGGTATCCTGATAACTATAAGTATCACTCACATGTGACAACTATGGAGTTTTCCAATTTTACCACATCTGCTTCAAAACGAGCTATATGGATAAGGAATGTTCAGAAAGGTCGACTAGACTTTTTTGATCCTAAACCTGGAACATTTATTTGTGCAAATCATTTTAAAGATGGTAAGCCAACTCCTGAAAATCCTTATCAAACAGAATTTATGACAAAACTGTCAAATGAACATGGAAGCACACCAAAGAAAAGGGAAAAACCAACTGAGAGGACAACTCCAGCTTCAGAGACATTTCAGTCAGAACAGGAGCTTTCTGATCTAGATTTCCATTACTTATCTGAAGGTTCTGAATCAGAGCCTGAAACTGCACATCCAGATTTTACATTTGAACTTGTTGCGACAGAGGGAATGGTCAGTTTTTATAAAGGACTTCCAGACTCGAGGACTTTTGAGTTGCTCTATGGTTATCTTAGACCAAAGGCAAAAAATATGAATTACTGGAAAGGAGAAGCTCAGGTCCGAAAAGAGAGGCAAAGTAACAATGCTGCCAGGTCTCTTGCAGCTATCTTTGATGAATTTAAGAGAGCTGGTGCAGAGACACCCTCTGTAAAGAGAGGACCAAAGAGGAAGCTTCAGTTAGAAGAGGAACTTCTTTTGACTTTAATGAGGCTGAGACTTTTGTTTGTTGATTTGGCCTTTAGATTCAAGGTTTCTCATTCCTTAGTCACTCAAATTTTTTCTACCTGGGTTAGGTTTACGTCACGAGAGCTAAACTGGATGATTATGTGGCCAAGTAGAGGACAAATTCAGTTGGAGCTTCCAGAGGCCTTTCGAAAAATCTATCCAAAAGTTCGGTGCATTATTGATTGCACTGAAGTTTTTACAGAAACCCCAAGTGCTCTTGACATCCAAGCTACCATAACAGGCCAGAGCTCCGATTTTAAGTACTAGGCGACTTTGAAAGACGCGTGCTTCACATATTTGTGGCGGATTAGAATGCCGGCTTGGTCAGAGGCCCTTTGTTTAAAACATGGCGGGATACTCGCAGCTTAAGGCAAGCATGTGCCTTGTAGCTGTCAACATAATGCTTTTTAATTACATTGTCATAATTAACAAAACCCGATCCATGTTTGATTGAAAGTAATTGTACAAATCTGGTACCAGACAAACCGCTTTTAAAAAAACAAAAACACAAAACTAGTTTATGGTTATTTCTCATTAATTTCACTTATCAAAACAAATATTTACTTTTATCAGTTTTCCCGTTTCTTTCAAAACATCCTTCACTTCCGGGCGTTTCACTGTAGTCAATGAAAGACGCGTTTTATCGGTCTTCTTTTTCGCGGGAATATCAAAATTTCCATCTTTCAAAACGCGATGAACCAAAGCTTGCAGCATACCAAAGCGCCAAAGGCACACGATGCAGTCCCGGTGTTTTCTGAGCACCCGTTAAAAATATTGAACGCCAAAACTATCAAGTTTTGGTACAGCGAGAGGCAGCTACTTTGTGTACCCAAAGGTAAGTGCATGGACAGGCTATCGAAAGAAAATAAAAGGGGTGGTTGCCCAATGGATAGCAGGCCTAACTACGCAAAATAAATGTCTCATTGCATCCTTGTCTGCGAGGTTAGGACTAAATTTACACTCTAGAATACATTACACAACTCAATCAGCTACACTTTGCAGGTAGAATTGGTGATCAGTCTTGCCAATTTATATTTCTAAGGGACGTTCGTCGTACAAAGGCTTAACGCGCGGGGGTTTTTAGTTAATGACTGACATAACAGTTTCGTCACAATCGACCCAGTTAGAATGCGATAATGTGCGCGTGAACTTTGCCTACAACTGGCAATAAGCTGAATAAACCGGAAGCTGAACACCATGAATAAGTTACTAAATTACATCGCTCAGGTTCTTTTTCTTTTTTTTTCAAGTACCGGAGGGGTTTTTCGTGCATTCTGTTGCGCAGATTGGCAGTGATATACCGAGCATCAGACAGGTAACTCACCGAAGCCACCATTTTACTCTTCTTCTACCAAACAGTTTTCCTGCAATGGTTTTAGTACTGGTCCCATTGCCGAAACCTTGCACGAGCAAGATACGGTAATCGAGAGTCGAGAATCGAGAATCGATATTGTACTCGGGACAAGAAAAGGTTGCCATCCAAGGAACAATTGATGCAATGCAAGAGCTTCAAGGTGCTGAGAATCGCCAATTCTGGATTAAAAGCAGTGAAGGAACTCCTGAGAAGCGTCCAAATTATAAATGAACTTTGGAGGCCAGTTAGCCACGGTGATTGTCGCACCACGCATAAAGTAGAATAAATTTGTTAGCCTGGTCTTGTCTTTGCCACAAATCACGTAAAACTATAAAGAAGGTACCACTATGGACTCTGGAAAATGAAAATTCAATAATACTATGGTTGACGACTGACAGTTAAGAAGAGAGACAACCTTCACCTCAGAATCTTGGGCGCGCCGCCTGTAAGTTCTGAGGGAGAGGGAAGTCCCATAATTTGGCCTATTTCAAAAACAAATGACACTACAAAAATAACCTACAATTATAATTTCAAAAGAGAGACTACCATCACCTCAGAATCTTGGGCGCGCCGCCTGTAAGCTCTGAGGGAGAGGGAAGCCCCATAATTTGGCCTATTTCAAAACAAATGACAAAACAAAGATGACCTACAATAATAATTTGGATAATGACCGACATTTCAAAAGAGAGACTACCATCACCTCAGAATCTTGGGCGCACCGCCTGTAAGCTCTGAGGGAGAGGGTAGCCCCATAATTTGGCCTATTTCAAAAACAAATGACAGTACAAAAACAACCTACAAAAATAATTTGTATTATGACTGACATTTTAAAAGAAAGACTACCTTCACCTCTGAATCTTGGGCGCGCCGCCTGTAAGCTCTGAGGGAGAGGGTAGTCCTATAATTTGGCCTATGACACTACAAAAATCACATACAAAAATTGTTTGGATTATGACCGACATTTCAAAAGAGAGACTACCTTCACCTCAGAATCTTGGGCGCGCCGCCTGTAAGCTCTGAGGGAGAGGGTAGCCCTATAATTTGGTCTATTAAGTAAAAAGCAAGTAACAATACAAAGGTAACCTGAAATAATAATTTTTGGATTATGATTGACATTTCAAGGAGGCTAAAATGACTGATATAGAAACCATACTGTATCTGTGACGTTGATTATACAGATTGCCCAAGCGAACACGAAGATGTTGAAGTGGAAGCTAGAATATCTGGAGTAATCCAGCGTCTTGGGCTCCTTCTAGCGAATAAGATTTTGGCGGAATTTTGACAGTGCTTGGCACTTTTTGGAGAGTGATTTGCCACTGGAGGCACATCGACGCTTACATTGTCTTAAGCCAGAGAAAAAAGACTTGAATCCTTCGCCGTTTGATAAAAAAGGTCGTCCATTGAATCAGATAATTGGTCTTGCTGTTCCTCAAGGAGATGTGAAGTAGAGCTCGAGCTCTCGCATTCGTTTTCTCTGGCGACTATAAAATGTGCATTGTTGACGGCTTTTCTCAAATGTTCAAATAGAGAAAATTTAAAAATTTCTTTGGTCAGGGTCTTTTCCACGCCGAGTTCCTTCCAAACCGGAAAAAAGATGTGCCAGCAGAGAGTGTATTCCTACTTGTGGCTCCACAGTAAAAACTTGATACGCCGACTCGCTGTTTTCGCTTCGAAGGTCACCAATGTTGACACGGCATACTACTCTTGACAGAAGTTAAATAAGCCATCGGAGCACTATTTTCTTAAAAGAAAGCACTTGAAAAACCATTGAAAGCGTATCAAGCCTATTTGAATCCAAATGCGGCGAGAAAACTGTAGTTATCAATTGCGAAGCCAGAGGCGCGAAGATCGACTTCCAAATTTTCAATCGACCGTGAAATGAATTTATAATACCCAAATAGTCTGATCAAATTTCGCATTTCCTTGAGATGTCTGGTTCGTTTAATCAGAAGTACAAATTTTCTTGACAGGCAATGTGTCCGGCGCTCTCCAAAGGTGTCTGGAGGAATGCTTAAAACTAATTACCTTGTCTGTTATTGGAAACCGATTTGTGGTGATTGCTGTGGAGATTAGGCCTCCTCCTGCGCGCACTAAAATCGGGGCTCTGGCCTGTTATGCTCCGGTCTGATTGTAAACATAATTCAATAATGAAGTTTCTGGTTGCAGTCACTCCAAACGGAGCACCGTGCTATGTGTCACCATGCTACGGAGGAAGGGCAACTGATAAATTTATTGTTAAAGACTGTGGTTTCTTAAGTTTTGTGGAACCATAGGACCAGATTATGGCTGATAGGGCTTTCAAGATAAAAGACGAACTGTTGTTACGCAATGCTTACCTTTGCATTCCACCCAGTACCAAAGCTGGTTCACAAATGGTCCCAAGAGAAGTACAGGAAACATCTAGGACAGCTAACGTTAGGATATATGTTGAGCAGGCAATTGGGCGATTGAAAAGGTACAATGTCCTCAAGAATGAACTTCCAATCAACTTTCTCCCATTATGTGATGACTTAGTGCAAGTTGTTTGTGCCCTTACATGCTTACAAGACCCACTGTGTGTGTGAGTGGACTGTGATACATGTACTGTAAAAGACACTGAGAATTAGTTCATCTTGTTTAATACCCTTGTGGTATTTTTACTTAGAACTCGGTGACAAAGCCATACAACTTTAACAACATGGCAAGAATTAAGATACAGTAAAATCAATTTTAGGGTTAGTGTCCATTTTCTAGACCAAATGCAAATATGGATGCTACTGTTTTCTGCCCTCAACAGAATTAAATGACTTTTATCTTAAAGATCAAGTAAAGGTAAATCAGGGTGTAGAGTTGTTAGGCTAGTCTACTATCTAATGTGAAACATTAAGGTGAGCATCTACCTAAATGTCCCTGGTAACCATGAAAATGAACGCCAATAGGTCATCAAGGATCCACCAGAGAGGTTAGATCAAGCTCCCTATCCACAAAATCTAAAAGGCAAGCTTGACAAAACAACTCTTGATCATCCTCGATGTGAGTGATCTGTGCACACACAAAATGGAACCATGCTCCACAATGGTCACAGCATATGCTATTGTCAGGGGAATTCTCTGGGAGCTCCTCTCCCTCTAAAATGACTTTCTCACATGTGGGGCAAAAATATATATTCCTCAAGCCTAATAGGACCTT